CCCTATGATAACTTTACCCTCCCTCGGACCTTAAATTGGATACACTGAAGCTGGATGGACTGATGGATGTTTGTGGGCATCATTCAGTTTCCAGGTTTTGGAAAGGTGGTTTGTGGCATTTGATCTCAGATGTTGAGGATGGGGTGCAATGCTGACAGCGTTAATGCTCACGGAGCTGGGAAAATTAAAAATCTCATCACTGTCATTCATAATTACTTAAGGGAAAAGTAAAAACTTATAACACTTTTCTGCATCTGCACATTCAGCAGATTCAGCATTTCATGACTCCACACAGAAAACGTGCAGTTTGACTTTTTGTCTCGATTTCCGTGCGTGATTGACTAACTGTTTCATTCAGACCGGGGGCATTGGTCTCAAGACACAGAGGCTGAATATAGTAAATGCATTTGACAGCCTTTTAAAGTTGGTCTCAGATGGCAAATAGATCATCGAGGACAGGTTGTAGGCACTTTACGAAAACACGAAATGACCACATGCGAGAGCCTTCTCTCTCTCTCTCTGTCCCTGCCTTTCTCCTACGCATTTGCACATTCTGTTCTTCTCTGTCTTGTTATTCTGCGTCTCGCACTCTTTCCTTCTCTCTCCATAACACACACCTCCACTTTCAGAGAAATAAACACACAAACAGACGGGTTGTGGCACACGGCGTTTGTATGTAAGCGCATCGGGTCTGGAGGCTGACGAGGCGTTGATGCGTCAGGAGAGGCTCTGTTGACAGGCCACTAATGCAGCGTGGCACCAAGCAGAATGGTCAGCAGGGCCTCGCTGTGGAGGAGGGAGAGTAAACTGTAAACCGACACTTAGACTGAATGGAGTTGTTTGTCACTGTGGGTAGCAATTACTTGGCCTGGGCTAGCTTTGAGTAAACTCCCTGATCAGAAGAATGCCCTTCTGCCAACCGAGCAACAGGAAGGTGGGGACCGAGGTTTGCTGTGTTGATACTTTTCTGTAGGCCAACTGTCATGTTTGAACACACTCAGGGTGAGCGTCCACCTGTTGACTCTTCCCCCGTGTCTGTGTTTGCGTAGGCCTCAGTAAAAGCACGAGCAGCTCCAGCATGGCGGCGTGGATTAATAAAATAACCCCCTACTTAGATGTGCAGATCAAGCTTGACGCCGGGTCACGCGCCAAGCAGCCAGCGCTAAGTTGTACCTGTTGCAGCTTCACACAGGATGCAGTACAGCAGCTGCAAAAAGAGGAACTAGCACAGGCTTTTCCATCGCTGGGGAGCAATCCACTTGGGTGACTTCATCGAGAAAAATAGATCGATTCAGCAAAAACAAAAGTAACCGCACCAAGGGATCGCTGTCACAAGATAAAAAAATCGCTTGATGTGGGAATCTATAAACGCAATCAGGGTACTCTTTGACTATAGCATATTTCCCCCCTCATTGTTGGGTAATCTGAGAACTTTCTAACCTTTTTATACAGCTAACCTGCCAAGAGATTAAGGTGGATGCTTTTCACGTGCTCGTCACATGGCTTTAACACCAAGAGCTGCATCTTTGTCCCCTTTCCTTTCAATTAACTGGACACCTTCATCTCATCGCAGGTTTGCCTCGAGCCAACACTTTTCAGTTCGCACCACGACTAAGAGAGCAAATATAAAGCAGCCAAGTGTGAACGGCGGGTACGGTGGGCTGCGTGGGAGACTGTGCACTGTGATCTTGACATCTACGCATCACTGAAACTTGTGAGCGCAGGGAGGACAGCTTTTGAAAATGTCAGTTCCTCTTTCTATATTTATCTGCTCAAGCTAACCCCTCCCTCCCTCCCTCCCTCCACAATGCTTTGTCACTCTTTTATGTCATTTGCATGCTGCAAGTTATGCATTCAGATGTGTGGCACTGAGCTGTCCGAAGACAGGTTTTGTTTCTCTTTTTTCCGTTTGTTTCACTTCTGTTACAGTAACTCCCCATTCAGCTGCAATGCGTTTGCTCACTTTGAAGTTGTTGCATGTCAGAAGACCCTTTTTTTGCCTTTGAAGTGTGAGTCAAAATGATCTCAGAAGACTTTTACTAATACTGTGCAGATATATAATAACCGGGTTTAGCCGTTACACTAGAAATTGCAAATGATATATTGCCTCTGTATATGGTAACACTTACCAATGAGCACCAAGCTACTTTCCATAATCACTATCCTCTGCAGCCATGCGGACGCGATTTCCTGGTAGCTGTCCTCACAATATAAAGCTTACTTTGTCAGATATATAGACACTGGCACTAAATGATGCTACAGCAGCGCGGTAAAGAAAAAGATCATGAGTATGCTGTGCGTGGCTAAAGTTGAGAACTAACATAGCGAAGGAGTTTACCTTCTTTTGTTTCTCAGAAAAGTTAGAGGAATAGCCAACAAGAAAGGGGTTTAGTATTATATTATTTAATATTTAGATTATTTATTTAAAAAATAAAATGCAGAGGTGCTGAATGGAAAAAAATGGCTATGAATGCTTTGCAGGGTCGGATATCACATCTGCTCAGGGTATGTATTGATCGGCATTAACAAAAGACTTGCATGTTCAACTCCATTAGCTGGCCGCTTGGTTCCCTTTCTGTAACTGCTCATTATAAGATCAATGGGTTTTTTGATACTTTGGATTTGTAAATTTGGCTTTGCTACACTATATGGACAAAAGTACAGCTATTAATCTTTGAAGTCAGGTGTTTTCAGTCCCATCGCCACTGAGTGTCTTTACAAACATTTGTGAAAGGATAGGTCAATCTAAAGAGCTCATTGGATTCAATTCAGTTCATTGGTGGCCAGTGTTGGGAAGGTTACTTTTAAAATGTATTCCATTACAGAATACAGA